TCACCAGGCCCTTTTCACACGTCGCTTTCGTACTGAGCCCTTGCCGTTAAGCTACACCGAGCCCTCGGCGTCCGCTGCACCAATCCCTTGCCATCTGGTGCTCGTCGTTCGTACCAGAACTTGTTCGCACGTCCCCGTCCCTCGCAGCCCTTACAGTCCGCTGCACTCAACCCTCACTGTTCGGTTCTCCAATATCTGTGAGATTCTCACAGATATAGCCATCAAATACTTATTTTTAGCTCCTACACCTATCTACTCAATTTGCATGCACATAATCTTCAATAAGAAAAAAAAAATACGAAATACATCAATATCAATCTTTATATAATATTATATATATATCAACATCATGGGACCTTAATCAGTAACAACACATGCTTGACTCCTATATCAATATCTTAGTCTATTTGTTGTTTTATCAAATCTATTTCCCTGTATCTCGTGCCTAATCGTTCATCTGCCTCTATCTCGCCCAAAATCACAGCATTCATACATAATTATTGATCTCCATCTCGCACAAAATCACATAAAATCATCCCAAGCACTAGGCCCATGATATTGATATAGCATAAATGTCTGGAATCAACATTTTGCCAATGCTTTTTTCATTTTTAATTTTTCACTTAATTATCAAAGTGAAAATAGTATTAGCGAAAATTAAGGTCTACCATGGTCTATGTCTCTTTGAGTTTCGTGGTCGAAATCAAAGTTAATAAATTTTAATGCACTTGATCTTTTGCTATTTCGGATTACGGGAAAATTTCTTTAAGATTATGAGGCGATTGTCCAAGAATATTGATACTTTTGTGATCTCACAATATACATATGTAACTTATTCAATCTATGACTTGAATCAATAGTACATTAACAGTTTTGGAAGTTTACGAAAATTTACTGAGAAATTACATATTTATTAGATCACTCAAATACGCCTGGTCGCTGAATAGCATAAGAAATTAAATATTTATTAGATAGCATAAGAAATTAAAATACCTACTTATTAGATAACAGTCGTTGAATAGATAACAGTAACATTAAAAGCAAATCTAAAGAGTTACTCCAGACAACATAAACATCATCGTGCCACCGTCACTTCCAATTGTTGTCTGTCAGCCTCTCTCGACATCTGATATCGGTGCGCTTTTTTCGCGGAGACAAGCGTGACAAGTGTAAATAGCAATAAATAGCATGTCAATGCAATTACCTCCTACTAATATTATTCCGAATATTATTTCGGGTCCCATAACCGGTCCTGAAAATTATTCAAATGTAGAAGTTGTTAGTATCATTTAAAATGTATTATGTATTTTCAGGACCGGTTATGGGACCCGTAATAATATTCTGAATAATATTAGTAGGAGGTAATTGCGTTGACATGCTATTTATTTCTATTTACACTTGTCACGCTTGTCTCCATGAAAAAAGCGCACCGATATCAGATGTCGAGAGAGGCTGACGGACAACAATTGGAAGTGACAGTGGCACGATGATGTTTATGTTGTCGGGAGTAACTCTTTAGATTTGCTTTTAATGTGACTGTTATCTATTCAATGACTGTTACCTAATAAGTAGGTATTTAATTTCTTATGCTATCTAACAAATATTTAATTTCTTATGCTATTCAGCGACCAGACATTTTTGAGTGATCTAATAAATATTTAATTCCTAAGTAAATTTTCGTAAACTTCCAAAACTGTTAGATGTACTATTGATTCAAGTCATAGACTGATTACATATGTATATTGTGAGATCACAAAAGTATCAATATTCTTGGACAATCGTCTCATAATGTTAAATAAATTTTCCCGTAATTCGAAATAGCAAAAGATCAATTGCATTAAAAGTTATTCACTTTGATTTCGACCACGAAACCCAAAGAGGCATAGACCATGGTAGACCTTAATTTTCGCTAATACTATTTTCACTTTGATAATTAAGTGACAAATAAAAAATGAAAAAAGCATTGGCAAAATGTTGATTCCAGATATTTCTGCTATATCAATATCATAGGCCTAGTGCTTGGGACGATTTTATGTGATTTTGTGCGAGATGGAGATCAATTCTGTATGAATTCTGTGATTTTGGGCGAGATAGAGGCAGATGAACGGTTAGGCGCGAGATACAGGGCAATAGATTTGATAAAACAACAAACAGACTAAGATATTGATATATGAGTCAAGCATGTGTTGTTACTGATTGATGTCCCATGATATTGATATATATATAAAATATATTATATAAAGATTGCTATTGATGTATTTCGTTTTTTTTTTTTTTTTTTT